GGATTTCCATGGTTTCCAAGTGGTGCAGGATTTTGTCCATCCACAGTATGTCCAACTTCTTTGTCTTTGGTGCTTCGACCGCATCTTGTCTGATGGGCTGCCTTGGGAGTTTTCATTCCGAGGCACAGGGACATCCTTGACCAGATGCTGGCAGAGCAGGAGTTGCCTTACCTCAAAAGGGAAGAGATGCAGGCAAAGACGATCAAATCAGGGCAAGTCAAGAGCAACTAGTTGAGACATACATCTAAATTTCCTCGTGTTGGCATTTTCTGCGATGGGAAGGCATTCACATTGTGAAGCCTGCGAACTGTGGGCAGCAAGAGGCACGCAAAGTAATTATCCACCCCCGCCCGCTTTCAAAATCTCTTGCATACGGACTTGTGAGCTGAAGGCTGCCTTCTCTGATCCTGAATATCACGGATTGGACTAGACAGGGTTCAGCTCAGCTGGTTGTTTGCGCGCAATTCGGGGCTGGAGCAGCGAATGGGCGTTCAAGGCAAGGCCTTGAGCACTGGCATTCGCGTGTTTCTGAGCTGCTACCCTTTGCTTGACCCATTTGGCCGTGGGGCATAACCTATGGCTCCATTTTGGGGTGGATGAACATCCATTTGCCACCTATTCTGATGTTCACCAGGGGTTTCCTGGGTTTTGACCACCACAGCCATTTATGCTTGCCTTCCGACCAAAGCGGCGATTCTTCGGTCGGTTTTTTTGTCAGGAGCGCCTCATCCAGGCCCGGCGCCTGGAGCGCTACGAGGCGGCCAAGTGGGGCGTCAGCGCCAGCGCGAATGAGGGTGAGGGCAGACCGCCCGCGACGGAGGCGTGAAAAAGCGGGGTGGAGGGCGTGGTGGAAATGAAATTGGGTGTGGCTCAAAATTAAACAGGAGGGGCAAACCGCAGGTTTTGGGAAACATGTTTCCACTTACCGATTGGGTTGCATTTTTGGTACCGGTTTTTGGAGCCACAGCCAAATGGGCACGAAAGGCACCTTGTGATGTGCCGGAATTGCCCAGGTTTGAAAAAGGAGTGCAGTTTTGGTGACACTGAGTCTCACAGGCACACCCTGTTGGAGGGCGGGTGGCACATCCGAAGAAACATACCGCGGAGGGATTCCGCTACATTGATCTGAGCTTCAGGGCGAGCCGAGCCATGAATTCCAGAAAACAGTTGATGTGTGGGTTCCTTGGTGTTCCTGCGTTGTTGAAGGTAGCAAGCAGCATTGCGTTCTGTTTCTGGCACCTGCCAGAAAGAAATGGTATCTCACCTGACACAAACTGTCAGTAGAACTTCGGAGATCTGCAAGAGGTGTTTTTCAATTTGTGTGTGTCCTTTCTTGGGAACCCTTTCCTTTGTTTCAATGTTTCTCTTTCCATTTGGAACCAAACAGGAAGCCATTTGGAATTTGGAGGTTGAGACATCCCCATTTGGCGGTATCTCGCAGGGCAACCTCATGGATGAGGATGCGGCCCGGCACCGGCCGGACCAAAACGGTCCGGCGGAATTGGCGGAGGGCCCGCTAGAGCGCAGCTTTGCCGCTTGGCATGGCAAACACAGCGCCGACCGATGAACGAGCAACAGCCCATGAGGTAGACCTGTTGCGATCCAATTCTTGTTGCAGGTCTTGGCATTGTGGTTCCCCCGCGGATGAGGCGAAATAAATAGTTGAAACATGTCACGTTTTTATTCGCTGTGTTAGGTCATGTCAGGTTGCGCCATGTTAACGTCCGGTTCCAGATTCAGAGATATAGCTGCCTTTGACCCCTCCACACACAGACGCAAACATACACACGCACAGAAGCACAAACACAAACGCAGGCACAAGCACAAGCACAAGCGCAAGCATGCACACACACAAAATCACACAATTAATTTCAAGCATTCAAGAATACGCGGAAGCAGAGACACACACACACAAAGAAACAGAAATCGCCACATGCAAAAAGGCAAGAAGGCGGACCAAGGACCTTTTCAGAGGCGATTTGCGCATAAATTTGATTATTCGGAGGTATGCAATGTTGACGTATTGGGTATGCATATGTACTCATACACCTGTATTTCTGCAGTTCCGACCCCAGGATCTGACGTTGACTTTGGCTGGCGACTTTGTGGATGAGCTCGCCAGGCCCTTTGCGGGAAGCAATTCTCGAGCTCGCGAGAGAGCGGGTGTAGAACGCACGAAAAAAACGTTTCAGGCGGTTTGTCTTTGTGGAAGCGGGAACCCACCTGACAGGACGAGCAACGGTTTTGCGGCATGTTTAATCCGAATCATGGTCTATTGCTTCCTGGATCCTGATTCACAGAGCAATCGGTCTGACAATAGATCTGAATAAACTTGGACAACTCTTTCGGCATACAAAAGAAGCACTGACGGCACGGCGTTCTGGCAAAATCTCCACAGACCGGTTGATGCAGGGCTGCTTCTCATGGATCGACGGCTCTCTTTGTTCATGTTTTCGTTACCAGCATCAATGATGTGCCAAAGCCACATCGACCTCACCGTTCACGGTTCGATGTGCTCCAGTGCTCCAGTGCTCCAGTGCTCGTGGAACTGGACCTTCTCACCGCGACAACATCAATTGCTGAGTTCCATTTTGCATATGCGCAAACAGGCCCCAGTTCTTTTGGTTCCACAGGAGTCCCCCCCAACAAAAATCAGTGGGACTCTCTCTGACCACAACCGCGCGTCTCCGGCCGTTTCGCGGGACCAGCCGCCAGGGGCTACGCTCAGCCCTGGTTCCAGGCGCTGCTGAGGACCTGCACCGCGGAGTGCTCCTTCCGGCGGACGGAGTTCCTGGCGCGGCTGCAGGACCTGGCCTTCGAGGCGAGGGCTCCCAGCTCCCAGGGTCCCAGGGCGCCGACGGAAAGGGATACCCAGCAATACCCTGAGCCAAATCCAAGCCGGATTCAGGGTGGTTTTCGGGTTGGTTTCGGATCGGGTTAGGAAGATTGGAGAGGCTTGGTTGAAGAATTCATTTATTTATGGATTTAGGGCCGAGTTTGGGTTGGGTTTGATGTCACCTCACACAGGCGAGTGATTTGTCCAGTGGAGTTTGCTTTGGTTTGCACATTGTGCCTTCCCGGGCCTTGGTTACTCCAGTGGTTCACTAGGAACTTGTGCAGCATGCTCGCGTTTGTTTGATGCGAGTATGTGAGCAGGCATGACGAATGAATGTGTTTGTATGCGGCATCAACAAGTGCATGCCTGTTTGCATGAACCCGTACTGAAAACTAGTTGTTGGATAGATACATTTTGTATTGTGGATCTACGTTGACATGCTAGAAATCATTAGCATCAGCATCAGCACGGACACCATCACGGCCACCTCCAGCTCACCTCCATCGCTGCAACCGCCATTATGTCATGTTTTTATCATCAGTGTCATATCCATCACCCCATCACCAGCACAGTCACCATCCGCATCATCCGCATCAGCGTCATCATCAGCATGATCAACATCACCAGCATCATCACCAGCATCATCAACATTATCAGCATGATCAACATCACCAGCATCATCAGCATCAACAGCATCAACATCATCATCAACATGAACATCATCATCAACATCTTCAGCATCAAGATCATCATCAACATCATCATCAACACCATCATCAACATCACCAACATCTTCAGCATCAACACCATCAGCATCAACATCATTATCATCAGCGTCGTCACCATCGCACGGTCATCACGATCATCATTCATAGTCATAATCATCAACACCGCCACATCCTCTCGTCCTTGTCGTCGGATGCCTGGATGCACCTCCAGGTTCAGCGGCCGATCCTCGAGAACTGGGGCTTTGAGGGGAACGAGCAAGGCAGAGCCGAGGGAAAGCCCGGGAGCTGGCCGAAAAGTTGTTTGCCCTTCAGCCTTCCAGCGAGTCACAAACCGAATAGTTAGTTGAGGTGTTTGTTGCTCTTGAAGGGGTGGTTGGGCATGCTTCCCAATTGGGGCAGGGCATGCTTCTATTCATCTTATTGCAAACTGGTGCTGGTTCCAGACAAAAGGGTCAAAGCAGGCATAGGCGGTTTTCCCCACAAGCTAGAGGCCATTTTCTGGCCCAGCGCGCTTCCAGGCCTTTTTGTTCATTCTGCTCGCTCCAACCCACCAAAGATGTGGTGGATACTCTGGCTGCCTAAAGCATGCCAAGGGATGATTGTGCTTTGTGCTTTGGGGGGCTGACGTATGGGCCAATCTTGTAGGGCTGCGGGGCTTCCATTCATGTGAGGCCTTTACGACATGACGTCCATCCTCCTGGATCACTCGCGGAATGCTCCTCCCTGGCTGCAAGAGAAGATCGACCGCTGCCTAACATTGCCACTGGGCCCTGTACAACGAATCACACGCAGATGAAGCCATCCCCTACAAACAGCTGGGAGAGCAATGGGTTGATTCTTTGTGAGCCGAGGCTCTACGGCGGAGCCGACGGCATCTTGCAGCGCGAAACGGCGGCCATGGCGCGTCCGTGCGAGACAGGAAAAGAGCTCCACCTTGGGCAGAGGGGAACGGAAACCGGCCTCAAAAGGCGTGGGCTGGTGGATGCGTCATCTTGTTTCTAAAAGGGTGGCAGGGTCTGGTGCTAGGAGGCATTTTGTTGGCTACAAGGGGGGGGGAGGCAAAACCTTTCAGGCTAACTGGAAAAGTGAGCGAACATATTTTTTCCCTCAGATTCATGCACGCATGTTCGAAGAGCCAGAATGAACCTTTTGGAGGGTGCCTCACTTTCATCTCCGCACCAAAGTGAGCAGTAACGTAGTCCAAATGCCCCCCCCCATATGCGGACTAGTCCCTCCCAATCAAAACCCGACGCAATTCGGGGTTCAAAATGAATGGGCTTCGCTGGATCGCACTTGGGCAAGGTATTCCTCGCTTAGTGTAGCCTAGGTGTCGCGTTCACCGTGTACTCATAGCATTTGGATCGGCGTGGTTTCGGTGGCCGGAACCGAAACACCCCGCTGAGTTGCTGGTTTCAACGGCACTTCCCATGCCCGAGGCGACGAGCTGGAGCGGCGCCACTTTGAGGGGGACTTCCTGGGCAGAGTGGCCCTAGGGCCAAGAGGTGAAGGGTTTGTGTTGCTGGGAGGGGGGGCTTGCGAACCATGTGTTTGGGGCTTGTGGCTGGCTTCGAAGTGTCAGGGACTTCAGAGTCAGTTGTGAGCACCTGGTGCAAGCATCCAAGTCATGGGAACAGACTGGCTGAACCGAACCGATCGGATGTATCGGATGAGTTCCAACGTTTGAGGGCCATAGTCCAGCTTGCCTGCCCATTTACGGGTTAAGAGAGCGTTCTCAGAGGATGAAGCGTATTTTGGCGTGTGCCAAGGTCCTGGAACTTCCAGTTTAGCCTCCTCAAACTTCCGCTGGATTTTTGTGGCAGTGGTTGTTTGCGTTCTGCTTTCCGTATAGGCCTTAACTGGGGCCCACGCGAACCGCGAACTGGGAGGCTGCACAGTTGCCAGAGTCAACTCTGCGATATTAGGCGACGTCCGTGATAGCCTCCCGACTGCGAACCTGGAAAGTTCTGCCCCAAGTTCGCTTTCCTTGTTTGAAGGGACCTGCTGAGGTCATGTTGGTGGGGGGGCTATGGGCTGCAGGAAAACGTGCTGGGCGAGCAAGATGAGCAGTGGCGATCTCTTGCTTTCTTCTGTGGCCGTGACGGTCTGCTTGGGCATAGGAGGTGTCATCAGGCCTCCAAACATTTGAAACTCTCAAGCCGAGGCAATCCTCATTAGATGGACTCCCAATTTTCCATCAAAAGGCTGGCTTTCAGGTTGGCTTTGCGCTAGAGCTACTGGAACAGGGAGCTGTGCTTGGCAGTACAATCCACATGTTGATTTTCCTGCATCTGTTCCAAAGATTTCACTACCACTATACTGCGCATACTCCCTACTACTGCGCAGGTCTTCCAAGCAATCACCATTGCAAAACCAAAGGGGCATCCAGCTGGTAAGCGATTACGAAGATATATCATTTGATGACCAGCTGCTTGCTAGTTGCTTACCTGGCCACCAACTGGTCCCAACTGGTCCTGCACTAGTTGCCAACTGGTTACCAACTGAGCTGCTTGTCAGCTGATTACCACGTTGCCGGCTGCTTGTCAGCCGGTTGCCGAAAAGGGTGTAACAGCCCAGGCGCGCGCCCCTGTGGCGGCTGGTGAGGTCAGCGACTTTGCGTGCGTGGAGCAATTGAACCGGTTTGAGAAACCAACAAACCGAGAAGTTCACAGACGACAGTCGGTCCTCCAGCTTCCTCGTTATTTATTTATTTTATTTTTGTTTTGTGCTAAACACTCTCGCAGTGGATCATGGTGGTGGAGAGTGAATCCTGCTTGTGGGAAGAGTTGTTCCACTGACATGCGCGGGCGGATGTGATGGGTTGACCCTGTGAGGCTTGAACCTAGGTGAAATCTGCTTCTAGTTGACGCAAGGTGAGCTCTCTAAGATGGGCGTGGCTTGCTTCCAATCCCAAGTGTCACCGCATTTCCAGTCCCTGAATGTATAGGCCATGTGTGGGGGTGGGGGTTATACATGTGAAACGGATAGTCATGTATAGCCGGGAACAACTCTTTCCAGGTATGAGTGAGGATGCACCTATGCCCAGTCACAAACTGAGGCGACCCAAGTAGGAAAGTAGCACACCACTTTGGGACATGAGCTGCACATTGCTCTTGATGTCGCCAGGGAAACATGAGGCTGATAAGATGATATTTCACAGCCAATTTGCAGACCTGTTGACTGGTAGGCGATCTTGCTTTGTCAAGCTGAACCCCACTACTTCTTTGGAACACGACTTGGGTTCATGACGTCCATTTGGCTTTGACATCTTGCTGAGCGCCAGCATTTGGGATGCGAGTTTGGAGGGATTCACAGTGTCCGCGGGCAGGTCATCTCAGAGGCTATCGGACAGCTGGCCGGGGGCCCACGCTGTGAGGGAATTGGCGACTCCCTGCGGCTCCGGCATGAGCTCTAAGCCATGGTTGAGCTCAGGTTCTGAGAGGGAGCTTTACAGTAAGGAGAGCATTGTTGTGGAATTTCCGGATATGATTTCAACCTGGTGGACATCCTGGACGAGACATGTGTTGCAATCAGAAAAGCTGGCATGGCGTCAAACGCATCTGCCACAGCATTCTGACCGAAACGTGGTGTAGGATATGCTCCCTCCAGTGGCCAAGCTGTTTGGTTTGATGCTGTATGCGAATCAGGATAGGCTGGGTTAACGTGCACCTCATGCAGGTCTCAGGCGGTGGCGACCCAGAAGCAAAACGGTTTTGACTTGGTCATTGGTCAGCTGTGATTTTCGGAAGAAAGTAACACCAGGTTGCTTTCAAGGCAGGCGTTTGAATGTGGGAACTGTCTGTATGGGGACCCACACAAGGTTAAAGACGGACTTTAGCAGCGAGAGTGAAAAGAGAGGAGGAATCCCATTACATCATTACATCAGTCAGACAAAAGTTTATGCTTCTTACCTGTTTTCTAAAGACCCCATTTGGTCAACCGCGGGTCGAATTTTCAATCGCAATCCATGTGGCAAGCGTGGGACAGTCAAAATATCACGCCCAAGTTAATTTGTCATAGCGAAAGACTTCCCGCATCCAAAATTGCCCACGCGCACCCGCAAGGGCGTCATCGTGCAGGATTCAGTGGGGAAAGGGCTGCAACTGTTTTCAACTTGCCGCCCTTGCGCCACTTTGGCTTGGCCACGTTTTCTAGGCAGTTCATGACAATCTCACCAGGAAGACGATCGTTGCCCGTGTTGAAGGTCAGTGTCTTGCGGTTCAGCATTTCGGGTTACTGAAATATGATGTTCTTCCAAGAAGGCTCCAAGCTGAGGCTGGATCGAGTGGCAGAAACAATGGAGCTTGCTTGATATGCCTCCCAATTGGCACACATCCGGGGTGACTCAAAGACATGCTTGGCCGGGCTAAGACTACGGCAAGGCAAGAGTTCGTTTTCATCTCTTCATGGTTTGCACAAGTGCATTTGCATTTTCCAATGTTTGTTGTTTCAAACATTCAGTGCAATGGCTGAAAGCCGACTTCGTGATCCGAATGGTTGTCAGACTCAACTTGTTTTTCCGCAACGCTCCCGCTTGGCTGCTTGGCTGCTGGCTTGCATGGCTGCCAAAAGCTGAGCACTCGGCCCGGGTACCGCTCCGAGGTGGACACCTCTCCCATGACGCCAGAGCTAGCGGCAGAGCTCGCCGCAGGCCGCGCAGAAGCGAGTTTCGACGGGCGTGTCGCTACTTTCATCCCCCCACTCCAAAGCGAATCGACCTTTTGACCTTTTGGTTTCCTCTGTTTGGTCCAGGACCAGTCAAGGTTCTGAAAGGCGAAAATCGAAATTTCCAACTCAGGGCAAGTAAGCCCTTCCCTTTTGCCCCAGCTGCAGGGAGATTTGGCGGGAATGGAGCTCCTTTTTGTTTTTTTTGCCGCGAGAGACGCTTGCCGATGCGTTCTTTCCTCATTGAAGATGGCTGTGGGTTGCAAATTAAGGAAGATGAGTTTGGAACCGGCAAGCAACATCATGCAACTGCCTGCCATTGACCCGTGAGACCAGGACGTGGTCATACTTTGCTTCACATGTAGACCGCATAAATCTGATTTGTTTTGTTCGGCATGTATTCAGTGCCGAGCGGTATTTCTATCATCCTGTTTCTTGAAGTGGGATGTCAATAACAGCCACGGTTAGTTTCATTGACCGCAGCCTCAACGGCCACCCGCCAGCGGGCTGGTTCCGGTACGAGCCCAACGGCCCACAAGGGGGTGGGTTCTTTCCTTGGGAGTTTTGCCCGGAGCCAGCCGCGAGTTGCGTCGTTTTGGTTTTCTGTTCTTTCTTCTTCCTTTTTTTTTTTTTTTATTTTTTATTTGTTTTTCCGAGGGTACTCTCTTCGGGGTTGGTTTAAAAGCACCGAGTTTGGGCACACCCATCTTTTCGTGGCCCCCTTGGACGCATAGAGCAAGGTGGCATGGGGATGGACATGCCCAGCCTCTTGGCCTCGCTGCCGCCCGAGCCAGAGGCCAGAAACGAATAAGGGAATCCTTGGGGAGTCTCTGGGGCCAATCAGGGAGTCTTGCGTTGACAAACGATCAAAGGATTTGGTTACAGGAAAATCTACAGGAAACGGCCCCCAAACACCCTAAATCAACAGTTTTCCTGTAGAATGTCCTGTATCCCAACCCTTTGACAGATGAAGGACACCAACTGAGGGGACCCTGATCTTTTGACTGAGTCATTCTCGCCAGAAGTGGCGTTTCCATTGGGGTTGAGATATTTTCCAAGTCCATGCCCCAAGTTTGGGTCGGTTTTGGTGCATGGCTTTGCACCATGCTCGCTGGGCCGCGCCTAAAAGAACAAATCCCGGGAGCGGGGAATTTCAAAGCATCGCCAGTATGGAAAACTTCTCGCTTCGGTTCACCTGCGTGGAAGTTCACAGCACCACATTCTGACACACGCTTTCTTGCTTGCCTATCAGGAGATCCTGTCTTGGGGCGAGACGGGACATATCCGAGTTTGGACATCCACGAACAAGTCTTGGGACAATAATTGCAGAGAACGAAACGCAGCAATCCTAAGCAGTACTGGGACAAGTGCAAGTGTAGCCACTGCATGCCAAGCGAGAGATGAAACGCACGATGGCATAGCAACACCGAAAGAACACGTAGCAAGACTCCTAAGACACTGCTCTCGGATTCCGCTGCCATCTCACGCGAGTTGGCGACTTTCCGGGGCATTGGGATGGCTCCCGCGAGGCCCCGGCGCGAGAGGAGCGGAGTCACTTGGAGCCAGGCGGGAAGCGGGTACAAGGGCTCGAGGAGGTCGCTCAATGGGGGGGCGGGGGGCGGGGATTCCCCAAGTGTTGCCCCGAACCTGTTGCCGACCAAGGGCCTCGAATCTCCCAACTGGCCTGGCTGGGGGTTATAGATCTGCTCGGCGCCACGGGACTCAGGTCTGAGCAAGCCAACCTGCAAGACCGTTGTTTCCTGGAGTTGCATCAACGTTGGGCATCTTTGCTTTGGGACAAAGCAAGGGCAGGAATCCAACTGCACATTACAATGCTGGACCTCCAAGCTTTGATTTGCGGCCAGGCGAAATGCCTGGCGCTGCGTGCGGTGCTCGGAGACCGAAATGTGGGGTGGAGAATTATGGCGCGATGGCTTTTTGTTTGATAGAAGTCATGTTGGATCAGTCTTAGTCTCTTGTGTATCTTTTCTTGCTTGGCTTTCTTGTTTGTCGGTGGTTCCATGAACTGGGGGATGTTATTGGTTGGCTCGAGGGCATGTTTTTGGTGCCTGTGACTACCAACTATATGCGGAACCCACGGGGTTGTGGGTTGGTGCCTCCAGACGGCCTATTCTGCGTCTCAGACTCAGCCTGCAAGTTTCGGGACGAGGAATGGGCCTTTTCTTCTATGCGTGTTATTTCCAGGTGACAAATTTAACATGGTCTGCTTTCCTCAGCTGGTCCTTTTCATCCAGGCTATCGGAGCGGCTATCGCCTTCTCCCAGGACACCGTCGGAGAGTTCTTCAGGCGCAAACCTTGGGCAAGGCTAGTGTTTCTTTGACTCGCCTCGGCTGTTGCCACAATTTCGGATATGGACATTGTAGTTGTGTACAGCTTTGTGCCGGATGCTTCTATTGCCACCATTGCCACTCTAGTGGTTCATACTGGCAAACCTTGGGCGGTTCAAAGGTGAGCCCAATTTCCTTGAGATTGTCACGGACAGCGGAGGTCATCTGCCCATCAAATTCTGGCCAGGACACATGACACAGCATGGGCATCACAAACAACAGGGAGGAAGAACAAAGAAGACAGGACACCAAGAAGAGGCACACAGACGCAGTCAAGGCTGGCACACAAGGGCGCCCTTAAAGCCAAATTGTTTGCCCTAAGGTGTCCTGCGTTAGGTGTTTCCATTGGTTGAGCTGCCAGCTTTCTGTCCGATCAAAATACCCACTGCATGGTAGTCGCTTCTCGCTGCTGCTTCTTTGACACACTGGCCTTACCCTTGCTTCTGTTAGGAGCGGGCCTCGTCGTGTTTGGCCGGTGCTTGCCATGCTTCTTTCTTTGGCCGCGGGTATGTTGGAAGTTTTGTCATGTGCGAAGCTGCTGTTCGGTCTGCTTTGTCGCGCGCCTGGCGCTGGTCAGTCGCCAGAACTCCTGGAGAGGTCCTTCTGCCCAGTCCTCGCCAGAGCCACGATTGATGGACAATTCAGCCACGATTGATTGCAGGTCCCTGGCAAGGTCAGGCAGAGCATGGTGGCAAGCATGCCATGGCCGGCTGGCCCGAACTCGAACATGCGACATGTTTGACTATTGACCAACATAAGGAAGGAAGAAGGCCTCAATTCAGCGTTAACATTGGCTCTGTTCGACTGGCCTTGCGGGTTGCACTTGCAGCTTTCACATGTGATGTTTCACCGAGCTTGGGATACAACGTTTTGCTTTTTGGGCAGCAACTAGGGACCTCCGGAGGACACAGTGAGGGCTCCTTTAGGTTTGGCGTGGCGGTTTCAGCGGCCTAAGCAATTTTCGGGAGGACTATATTTGGCTTTGTGTTCAACTTAGGAACCACCCCCCCCACCCAAAAATCAGCTCATCCGTCAGGCCCTTCGGGCGCCTCGGGCCAACGGAGTGCCGGGGGTGCGGGACTTGCGAGTGGGTGGGATGTTGGGCTGCGGAGGACTTTTTTTGCAAGACGGCCCCTGAACAAATTGCTTGGAGGAGCGGACATTTGCTTGTTCGCCATCCATGAGTATGGAGGATTCCCATGGACTGATCTGGGAATGGCGATTGGCTCCCTTTTGCTGGTTGCCAGGGAGGAAAGAACAGGACACCATCCGTTTGTAAGGGTTTTGAACATTTGGACACATTCCTTTTGGTTTTGTATTGGTGAGTGCACAGGAACCGTTTACCAGCTTCACCTGGGGACTTTTCCCAAAGCCAGCAACAAGTGCGGGTGTACCAGGAAGGAGGCCAAGCACCGACTGGCGGCCCTGCTTTTGGGTCAAACAAACAGCATTAAAGATGCGTATGTTATTCATTCTTCAGGCGCAAGACGTCAAGTGAAGCTTGTATTCCCTTCATGCAAGCATCTCTAATCGCCAGCCACCAATGAACGGCTGTGTAAACGGAACATCCATTGTTGTGACAGTTGATATCAGAAGCCACCTACCAATGTGGCATGAATTTCAATAGGACTACCTCACAAGTGGCGGCCTTGAATCCCAACCAAAAGCCAAAGTTCAAAGGATTCCCTATTTAAATTTCACACTCATGCACCCTCCTATTCACAAGCATGCTCACAACGGATGTCTTGGAAGACTATCACCTTCAACAGGATCCCCTCGAAAAATCTAAAAACATTTTCAGTCATTATCACCCAACTTCAAGCACTTGGTATTCTGCATGAATTCTTTACTCCAGCGAGGCACAAATTCCATGTTGAAGGACCATTTCGGGAGATTTTTGGCAGATCCGCGGATCGTTTCCCCTCAGAGGCCGCACGGTGGATGAGCTGGCCACTCTGATGGCCAGCGGGGCACTGAGAAAGAGCCCGAGTCACAAATTACAGGGCCCGACGTGTTTTTTTGTGGACAGGGCTTTGGACCAAATGGCTGTGGTTCAAAATTAAAGAACTAGGGTTACGCAGGTTTTATCGGTTCCATTTGCCAAGGGGCCGTTTTGGTACATGTTTTTGAGCCTTTCCCAAATAGATTTTCCACCCTACCAGGTGAGGCCCCCAAGCCTTTGGTAAATTTCCACCCTTGGCTCCAAAGGGCTTCTTCCTTGCGGTGAGCTTAACCCCTTGAGTTGGTGAAGCTCAAGGAAATCAGAGCAGGAGGGAGCCGCAGAGCGATTGCTCGTCGTGGACGTTGCTCCGAGTCCATTTGCTGATGTTGCTGCGGTCCCCGAACATTCCCTCGGTTGAGCCGCTTTGTCAATTGCCGAGCCTTGCTAGAAACGACTGGCAGAAGCCATCATAGACAGATCAAGGACATCTCCGCCTCGTTTACGAATGATCCCGAGTAAGCGAAGGGCCATATCAACCTTTGGCATTGCTGAAATCTGCATCTGGCTGCTTGCCACAGACGTAAAGACAACCTGGGCTCGTTCTGCGTCGCGGGTTTTGGGGCTCGAGTGTCGTACACTGAGGCCTGCCAGATGGAGGCCAGCGTGCAGGGGGCACATTCGAGCTGCATGTTTCCGAGCGCTTGACGGAAGAAAGGTCATTCTTGAAGTGACCAAGTGGCAATTTGTGGAAATCACCCCCCTTACCAATTGAGGTAAGCTCAGAGGTGGCAGGGTTTGTTTTCTCCTATCCTGCAGCAAGAGATTCTGAGAGCTTGCAGAATTGCGTCCTTCGCCGTTTTGTCACTGCAAGGTAAATGCTGAGGCTGCCTTTTTCGCGTCGCGGATTTGGAGCCTTGTCGCCTCGAATGAACATGCAACCGGTAAAACGGTCTGGGGGTACCCTTGGGTCACTGGCAGCCATGGTGGCCAGGACCTTTCTTGTTCGAATTGCTCGGGCATGAGAAGCTCGCCAAAGACTGTTGGGTATACAGGTACGGTTCAGGACATGCTGTTGACTAGCAGTGGGTTGATGCAAGCGCTACTTGCTCCGGGTGCCGAGCATTCACCATGTCCTCCATTCCTTGCCCATGGGCACTTGAGCCAGGCACGCTTGGATAGGTTGAAGGGGGGTCTCTGGGTCAGGGCACATCTTTCTGTTCATGGGTACAAGCACTTTCTTCCAAATCAGAGCTGCGTTGGGCAGAGATTTCTTCGAACTGTGCGCTGAAACGAACCGCATTGCAATTTGCAGCCGCTCAATGCAACGGCTGTTCCTCATACCACCTGGTGTGGCTGTGGTGGCAAGCATCTCCAGGTTTTTGTCATCAGGCACCAGCATCCCCCGCATCCTCAGCACCAGGCCCAAACACCCACCCAGCATCGGATGCTCAACTTCACAAGAGGCACCCACACCATCATCAAGCGTAGTTCTGCATCGCCAGCATCATCGCAGGGCTGAAAGCGCAGGAGCGTTCAGCATCACCAGCATCACCAACCCTCGCCATCATGCAGCTCAGTCGCCATCATTAGCATCATCAGCTGTGGGCCACCTTGTTCCCGCGAGCCTGCAACACCGCACCAGCCCATCACGCCCACTTGCCCCAGCACAACCGCAGGGCCAGGTCAAGCCCAGTCGCCAGCCCATCTGGGAGCTGGCGCTGGGACTGGCATGTCTTACTTGCGTGACTGGCGATGAGCCTTGGGGTCGCCTTTTGGCCTTTCGGCCTTTCTGCCTTTCATTTGCCCCCATGGCTGCCTCATCACTGCACTGCGCTTCAGAAAAACAAAAGCTGCCTGTTTCGGGGCTTCGGCCAGGCATCGAAGACGTGGCCCGTGATCTCCAGGCGCTCCAAAATGGCCCCGTTTCAATGGAGGGGTGGGCTAGACCAAGATCACATAGTAGTGGACGGTTCCTGTGTTTGGTTGTGGTATGAAGGAACTGACAAGCAGCCATACTGGCATAGGTGTCCTTTTTGGTTGATTTGGTTGAAAAATAGAGGGCCCTGGTTTACCTGGTGCTTGAATTAACCACCCGAGCCATCTATTGTCCCAAAAAGGACACTTATGCATGCTGGTTTCGAAGCTTTCGCTCAAAGTTTCCCAAAACAATTTCTTGCGGTTGCAGTTAGGCACAGCTGGAGGAGGAGCAGGCCAAGCGTGCGGGCCGCGCCTTGATAAGAAGATGCGCCGTTCGTTACGCTGGTTTGCTTGACCCGTGTTTCTCAGGTCTTTGGAGCTCAAACGTGTCTTGGTTTTTGGGGTTCACCAAAAAAGACATTGAGGGCTAGGTGTCATTTTGACCACTCACAAATAGCTTCAGCGGGACGTGGCGTATGGCTTTTGTTTCAATGGAAACTCTCTCTCGGAGAGAATCCCAAATCAGCAGTGCAGTTTGTGTCTGCCGCCAGTCTGAGAAGTAGCCG